TCGGTGATCGTGGTTGTTGATGTGGATCGGTGATCGTGGTTGTTGATGTGGATCGGTGATCGTGGTTGTTGATGTGGATCGGTGATCGTGGTTGTTGATGTGGATCGGTGATCGTGGTTGTTGATGTGGATCGGTGATCGTGGTTGTTGATGTGGATCGGTGATCGTGGTTGTTGATGTGGATCGGTGATCGTGGTTGTTGATGTGGATCGGTGATCGTGGTTGTTGATGTGGATCGGTGATCGTGGTTGTTGATGTGGATCGGTGATCGTGGTTGTTGATGTGGATCGGTGATCGTGGTTGTTGATGTGGATCGGTGATCGTGGTTGTTGATGTGGATCGGTGATCGTGGTTGTTGATGTGGATCGGTGATCGTGGTTGTTGATGTGGATCGGTGATCGTGGTTGTTGATGTGGATCGGTGATCGTGGTTGTTGATGTGGATCGGTGATCGTGATCGGTGATCGAAACCCCTCCATGGTATTTTTTTTCTTCAAATTTTCTTAATTATTCTTTGTGATCAATTTTTGTTCATCTGATTTTTATATCATATTTGTCTCAATTTCATTCATATCTTAATGTTCATATCTGAATTTCTTCATATCTGTCTTCGTATTTGACTGAGATTTGGTGATAAATGAATTAAAAAAAATAAAATTTGAGAAACTGAATTTGGGTTTGTCTCAATTTCATTCTGAAATTTATTTTCATCTCAAAATTGAATTTGATTTTGAAAAATGGGCTCCCTTCTGTTTAAATTCTGTTGTATTCAACTAAATTTGGTGCCAAATTGCTGTTCATTTTTGCTGATTTGGCAAGCTTGGGAGCTGCTATTTCACTTGCCATATTTGACAACACATATGGCATCTGCCATCTTTGGCAAGTGAAATAGCAAACCATTGGAGACCTGTTTTTGCCATTCATGTCATTTTTTAACTTTGGCAAGTGAAATAGCAGCTCCCATTGGAGATGCTCTAACTCCTCCCTTCTACAAACTTGGGATGCCTCTTGGGGTCCAACCCAAGTGTTACCACCTAGAACTTATATACATACATAAGCTCTCTTATAGTTTCAATGTGGGACAAACCTTACATGGAAACCCACATTTTATTCTTTAATTGTTCATTCCACGAACTCAAAAACGATATCAATTTCACATTCACTCATAAATGGTTTTAACGAACCGTTTGTACCGTGTGACTTGTCATACGGAAAGAAACACGTCACCTCTTTGGACCCACCCCAAAAGAGGTATGGAACCCACTCAAATTTGGGCTCAAAATTGACCCAAAATAAGCCCATAAACACCATTATTTCCAACATTCTTTTCTCTGTTATACTTCTACCCAACTTAAAATATTATTATTTTGAAGATTTAAGATTTAAAAAATTAGAGTCAATCGATTTTAAAGATTTTCCACATCATTGATGACACTCAGATTCTTGCTTTGGAACAATACATCAATGAAAATTTTAGTTTACTACTTACAAAGGCAATTTTGTTTTTTATTTTTCTCATTCATAAAATCATTGGAATGATGGTTTTGTTCGTCACGCGCTTTGATTAACCAGAGTTAAATATTTACACAATGTTCAAATATTTTCATGTGAACAAAACTATTTTGTTCAAATTATAAAGGTTGAACAAATATTAAATGTTCATACATAAAAAATTAAACATGATAAATCCGAACGAGTTAAGTTTTTTAGTATAAAAAGTATGAAATTGATAATTTTGTTCAATAGAAATATTTCAAACATATTTAGGCCAAGTTTGGCATCCCTAAAATAATCCCTTTTTTTTTTATCTTTTTGTCTTTTTTCCATCACATCACTTCTCTACTTTTCTGCACATCTTTTCGTAAAAAAACAAAAAGTATACTTATTTAAATCATCTTAAATAACCTCTTTTGTTGTATAATAATATATATTTAGACAATTAGTGTCGAGCCAAATTCGAAATAGAAACCATTATGAAAGGTGAATAGCTAAGCAAATAAAAAACGAATGGAAAAAACAAACCGAGGTTCAAAAGTAAGAATAGTAAATCTTTACAAGTCAGAATATAAGATCTTCAATGTTAATGATTGTTTTGTTGATATGTCATTACCACTAACGTATAGTTATAGTGAAGGTGAGGATAGACTGTATATAGGATGTGATATGTATGATAGATTGCACTGAGATATATATATATATATATATTTTGGGTATGGCTTCTCTTCAGTCTGTGATCGGATTGGAGGGTATTATTGGGCAAATGGGGACTCATCACGAGTCCCGATTTGATAATTCGAACCGTCAATGTGTAGAACTCATCGAGTACTATATGCCTGTAAAAAATCACATTCATCGGATATCGATAGGTACGTGATCAAATCAAATTTTTATTAATCGTTTATTTTTTTACCGTTTATTTTTTTTATACAAAACTGATTTGATCACGTAACTATCGATATTCGATCAACGTGATTTTTTACAAGCATATAACACTCAACGAGTTTGATATATTGAATGGTTCGAATTATCGAAACGAGACCCATGACGAGCCTCCACGAACCCAACAATATCCTTCAATCCGATCATGGACCGAAGGGAAATCATTTCCTATTTTTTTTGGTAGGATTAATATAAATAAAATCAAAAAAAAAAAAATTGTGGAGTGTTTTGCTGAAAAAAATTGAAAGTTATAAATATCAAAATGTAAACTAAGTAATGATGCTTCAAACAGAATTTAGGGTGTGCAAATAGAATTGCCTTAAGAGTAATGTTAGAGACCTCAAATATTTTATCAAAAATTTTACTAAATGTCTTACATGGGTGTGGGACCCACACAATGTGGATCCCACGTGAGTCCCACACCCATGTGAAACATTTAGTAAAACTTTTGATAGAATTTTTGAGACCTCTAAACATTTTTGTTGCCTTAATTTATCAGCCTTATAAAACCAACGATAGTAGGCCCCACAATCCTTTCGGTACTTTGTAAATATTGAACCGTACCTCACATTTCTCCAAAATCCAAGCTTATAAATAACTACAATCACTCACACAATTCTCGCCACCAGCCCAACTTTTCTCTTTCTCGCCAAACTTTCTCGGCTGTTTCCTTTCTCCCAAACACTTTCTTTGTTGTATGGCAGCTCGCTTACTATCCTATGAGGTAGCTGACCTCTGTATCGGCAAGCCGCCGCTGACGCCTCTCTCCATCTCCGCCACCGTCGCCGACGCCGTCGCCGCCCTCAGAATCTCCGAAGACAGCCACGTCAGCGTATGGAGTTGTGACCACCATTTATCTTCGGTGGCGCAGCCGAAATACGGCGGCGGCGAGGAGTGTCGGTGTGTCGGAAAAGTTTGTATGGTTGACGTCATTTGTTACCTGTGTAATGACGAGAACCTTTTGTCTCCGACCTTGGCTTTGGAGTCCCCTGTTTCTGTATTGTTGTCGAAAGATTCGTGTCGGGTCAGGCACGTGGATCCCTTTTCGAGGTAAGGGATTATATTTGAACTCTCTCTCTCTCTCCCTCTCTCTCAATCTTTATCTATCTGAGCCAGTTTCTTTGTTTGTGTTCATACTCTGTGAAATCAATCACTTTCTTAGATTAATTATTAATTAGGTTTGGTAATTTTTTTATACATAAATTACAAATAAACTTCAAAGCTTGAAATACGTATAATTACAGTTTTGACAAAAATTATAAATATTTTATTGTCAAAATTTTTTATTGAACATAGTTAATTGCTCTTTTATATAATGATATACTTTGAGAGTCACTATTTGTACACCATTGAGTTTCAAGAATAATTTTATATGCACCAATTGATATACCAATTAATGTATGGGGATTTGGTAATAAACTTCTTACTATCTAATTTTTCTTTCAAAAGAATAAGAATTATATAGATCATTTCAAAATCTCCTAATATTTTAAAACTTGTTTCTTTTACTATTCTACCCATATATATATATATATATATCAGCTCTTTTGTAAAGTCATCCTCACAATATATTTTAGAATAAAATTTATTATGATTCAAAATAAAATTTTATATCGTTAAACACATATATTTACTTAGAGAGAATGAGAAAAAAATTTTGAGAAATAGAGAGATAAAGAGAGCACATATATTACTTTAGATCTGGTTCGAATCAAATTAAAATTTTACTGTCTGAAAAATAGAGCATAATGAGAAACAAAGAGAAAGAGTGGGAGAGAATATACGTCTGAGATGATAGATCTCAAATCTGAGGTTGTCAATCTCAAATATGAGGTCTTGGAAGTTAAGGATAATGACGGTGGTTGCCTGTGGTACAATGGTATCGAATGGCGCTAGTGGTTGAGATGGTAGTAGTGAAACAATGGTGGCGGTGGTGGTGACGAATAGCACCGATGGTTGAGACGGTATTGGTGGAGACGGCGGAGGTAGTGGAAACGATGGTAGTCATGGTAGTAGAGATGTTGATGATGGTGGTGGTGTAGGTGGTGGTGGTGGTGGTGGTGGTGGTGAAGAGAGCTCTTCGAAAGAGATAGAGAAAGAAAGAGCTGAAAGAGATATGACAAATTGATGGAGAGAAAGAGGAGAAAGATATAGAGTGTGTGTGAAGCGGTAAATTTGTTACATAAAATATAAATCTGAAATTTTTTGTCCTTTATACAATACTTTATAATTGTAAGGAGGTTTTGAAAGTATAATTTATTTATTTTTTTGGGGGGGGCCATTTTTACAAGAAAATGAAGGTAAGAGGGGTTTATGGCCAAATTTTCTTTTAATGTATTAACAGATGATGTATCGTAATTTTAGAAGTTTTGGGTATTTATAATTCGTATAATGGGTGAGGTCAGTAATAATGTCATAAGGTATGTTCATACACTAGTTGGTATACCAATTGGTGCATATAGTACCACCGTAATTCCAAATATACTCTCTTCTTTGTTCGTAATATACATAGTTACATTAATACCCTTAGAATTTTGGCTTTTTCATAAAGTATATTTTGTTTGAAAAAGTATTAATTTTAAATTAGGTATAATAAGGGCGAAGAAAAAAAGTATATTTGGAGCAAAATATAGTGAGAAGAACAACTCCCTAAATTTTTCTACATTATTAATTGAAATAAATTTCTGATATTATTAAAAACTGTTAATTGAGTTGATATTTTATTAATAAAATAGGTCATTTATTATGAAATTAAAAATTTCAAAGGTAGAAAGTAAGTTTTAGAACAACATGAACAAATCGTATTTTAAGCAAATCTCAGATAGTGTATTTATACCATTTTTTAGCTATGTCAGCACTATATTAGAGATAAATTTAAGTAGTAATGTACTGACACACGAGGTAATAAATTAGATGAATTTAAATATAATAAATAATTGAATAGAAAACCAGTAAATAAAAAAATTGTTGGTTTGCGCATAAATTTCTTTGTTTTTTCATCTTAGAGCTTTAATGGAGGAGTTTCCGAGTTGTTTAATGTTTGTTTGACTGACTTGCCTCTCTGTATTTTACTTATTTTTTACTGAAAATTGTTTAAATTTTTGTAACAACTTCATTGGAGCTTTAATTTATTAATCCTTTAAAGAATGGAAATATTATGAAATTCTTCAGAAATACATGGATCTTTAAAAAGGTTTAAAGAAAGGGTTGGGCTGATTGGTCAGTCTCAACTCTCTGGACTCATTACAAACTTTACTAATTTAATTCGACAAATCAGATCATCAAGGTGAAACCATGATATGCTTAGAGGATCAAAGAGAAGCTCAACCTTAAAAAAATAGTATGTAAAAAATGAAAAGAAAGAATTTGAATATGTAGTGTACATTTAAACTTGTGTATCGATTCTAGACATTTTGGTGAATATATTTTACTATTGCTGAAATTTTTAACCTTGATTTGCAGCTAGTATGTTCTTTCATTTTTTGTTGGATGACTTAGAATCTCTAAATTCAAGAAAGATTGCAACAAATAAGTGAATTTTAATGTATATTTGGCAAATTAAACTGAGAACCCCTGTTCCATTGTTGTTTTGCAGTTTATTGGAAGCCATTGATCTCATCCTCCAAGGTGCTCAAAATCTTGTTGTACCAATAAAGACCAATTCAAGAAGAAAACTTCAAAAATCATTAATCATTCCCACATCTCATAATGGCCGTGAATTCTGTTGGTTAACCCAAGAAGATGTGATTAGATTCCTCCTCAGTTCAATCGGCCTCTTTTCCCCCGTTCCAGCGCTCTCCATTGCCGCGCTTGACATCATCAACACCGAATTCTTAGCCACTAGGTACCACTCCACGGCCGCCTCGACAATCGGAGCCATTTCGTGTTCCCTCGCTAAGCAAACTTCCGTAGCAGTCATAGACGACGACAACGGAACTTTGATCGGCGAGATATCTCCCTTCACCCTCGCCTGCTGTGACGAGACCGTCGCAGCTGCTATCACGACCCTCTCTTCAGGGGACCTAATGGCCTATATAGACTGCGGTGGTCCCCCAGAGGAGATTGTGAGGGTCGTGAAGGCGAGGTTGAAGGAGATGAACTTGGAAGGAATGTTGGAGGATTTCATTATCTCCTCCAACATTTCTTCTAGCTCTTCTTCATCCTCTGATGAGGAGTCATTGTCCCCAACCACGCCATTGCCAAGGTCAGGAAGGTACAATAGGTCAAGTAGCTACTCCGCGAGGATGGTGAGGAGGTCAGAGGCTATAGTGTGCCATCCATGGAGTTCTTTAGTGGCAGTGATGATCCAAGCGATCGCTCACCGGGTTAATTATGTTTGGGTCATTGAAGAGGATTGTAGCTTGGTTGGAATTGTGACATTTTCTAACATTTTGGGCGTTTTTTACGAACATTTACAGTCCATGGATCAAGGAGATTAGAAGCTTAGAGGATAGTTCTAACTCTTCAAGGAAAGAGGAGAAAGAATTCAAGCAAAATAACAGTAATGATATGTACACAGAAAAGTGCACATAATAAGTGACACTGTAAATTTGAGTTTGAGTCGCATTTTATTTTTTGGTAATTTTTCTGTGCACGTAGTATTACTGGGTGCGAAGTGCGGGTTTTGTTTTTTTGGCTTGATGTATCATTGGATATTGAGGATTTGCTGATATGGGTCTTGATTGGTATGATTTGTATGTATGATGTAAAATTTCTCTGTTTTATAAGAAAAAGTAACAAATCACCAATTGACAAATTTGATCTTCATTATCGCTTGTTCTTTGTTTAACCTAAAGTGTTTGCCTTCTGTTTTTGATTTATTCAGCAGATATAATGTGAGCTAAAAGTTTTGGTGATCCCATCTTTACCCAATATTGTGGGTCATAAAAGTGCCAAAAGCACAATTATAATAAACTCATTATAAATCTAAAGACAAAATGCAATATCCCTTTTAGATCCTGTCATTTGCAACTTTAGAGAAAGAGACAACAATTTTTTAAAGCATTTGCAGCTATCACCTTCCACCACCACCTTTGTGCTATCGGAAATCATTATAGGTGGCCAACCGCATTTGTCCATCATCTCCAACATGTTGAAGATATTAAACTTATCAAATATAAGATATCTATATATTCTGATATCTTTTCTATCTTCAATATAATAGTTAACAATTATCATTGATCACTACTTCTGGCCACCTCTTTTCACTTGGTTTCTAAAATAAATTTTAAAAATATGAGAGTTTTAGGATCTAAACATTTTAGTCTCAAAAAGTAAAAAATTTGTTGCAAGAAATATTAGAAATTAAAAATGATATTTTGGCAACGTTTTTAGATTTCGTTTCCAAATTTTTGTCTCTAAACTTTAATTTGTTATAGTAATTTAACAATTATCATTTGTCACTACTTCTGGCCACCTCTTTTCACTTGGTTTCTAAAATAAATTTTAAAAATATGAGAGTTTTAGGATCTAAACATTTTAGTCTCAAAAAGTAAAAAATTTGTTGCAAGAAATATTAGAAATTAAAAATGATATTTTTGGCAACGTTTTTAGATTTCGTTTCCAAATTTTTGTCTCGAAACTTTAATTTGTTATAGTAATTTCAATTATGGTGTTTATTTTTATTTTTATGCAAAATAAATAAATATATTTAATATGTTATGTAAATAAATAATTATAAACTATAATCATTACTAAGACCTCGTTTGGGAAGTAACCTTTTTAACCTAAAAGTCAAAAAGTTACTAAAAAAATAAAAAAGCTAACAACATATACCAAAAAGTCAAATATTTTATTTTCTCTTCGTAAAAAACTAAAAAAATCATCTCAAATATACTAATTTTTTTTACATCATATTTTAGCCAAAAAATTAAAAAGTTACTAAAAAAAACCTATTTCCAAAGAGGCCTAAATTAAAATGAGACCTAACATATCTTATAAAGTATCACTTTACCTAATATTGTGGAATCATAAAAATGTCAAAAGCGCAATAATAAACTAATTGTCGGATCATAAAAGTGTCAAAAGCACAAGGATAAACTAATTATGAATTTGGAGTTCAAAAAAAAAAAAAACTAATTATAAATTTAGGGAAACACTTTGATACACACACTCCTTTCAAATGGTGTGTACCATATGCATTTTATAATTTAAAAAATAAAATAAAATAATTTCATATTTTCAGAGTCATAATTAAAAAAATTGTTATAACTAAACACAACGTGAGACATAATTACAAAATTCATGAGTTATAACTAAAATAATATTATAACTAAAGAAAAAAAATTATATTAATCATAACTAAGAAAGAAAGTGACATACGTAGACTCTTTTTAAAATGGTGTATATTGAAAATTTTCGTAAATCTAAGGGCAAAATGTAATATCTCTTTCAGGTTATGTCATTTGCAACTTTGACAAAGAAATGTGCGTTTTTTTTAATCTAAGCATTTGCAACTAGACAAAAGCTTTTGCGTTAAAATCAATTATCCATCAATATCAACCAAGATAACAAAGATTTGAGTTACAATCCATTTAGTGAGTAAAAGCAGTTTAATAGTTTCGGAATATGACATGAATTTGTCTATGTTATGTTCTAATTATTGATATAGTGAAAAATTTTACTGGAGAGACAAAGCTAATTTATCTCTGTTAAATAGTCTTGAGACAAAATCACTCATCTAATACATAGTATTCTAAAATTACCTAATAATTTTTCATAACAGCAATGTTAGGTATCATGAAAAAAATTTCATAAAAATAATCATGAAAGCTTTGTGACCCTTGGATTACACTTAAAATAAAACACCACACACTAATCAAGGTAATCAAAGGATCATAAATCTTTCATGATCATTTTCATGAAAAAAATTTCGTGATCCCTAACTTTTCTCTTTTCATAAAAGCAATTAGACAAGCAAACCAGAAAACCCAAGTTTATGCTCATGAAGCCCATAAGGCAAAAGAGAATTAAGCCAACTCAAATTCAGAAGCAAATCAGAAAGGAAAAATTATATCACCAAAAAAAAAACACATACCTTAAAAATGAATCCTCTGAAGATGTCTGATAACACCCAATGAGTTATTGGATAACAACCAAGGAGAGCGCACACAATATTATAAATAGAGGAAAAGACTGCAAACCATATACACACACAATAACAACTAATCTTCTCTTCTCTACTCGTGCATGCCTTGATCAAGTACTGATCTAACGGTCAAAATACTCTCACAACAACTAATATCTAGGTCGAGAAGCCTCTAACAGCTTTGTTTGTTTTGCACACCTAAAAAAACAAGATGCTCATCTCGCTCTCATAAGTGAGACAAATCTGCCAATACAAGTACAACTTGATCATTATGATTGCAAGTTGTGAACTTTTTACTTTTTACAAAAAGATAGGTAAAAAAATAAAGAGGTGATATGACTTATAAATAAAATTAAAAAAAAAATAAGTATGCTAAATAAGTATGTTTCCAACCAACCCCTAAACAATTATTTTTACAATTAAGTCATAGAAGTGTTCTGGACTGGCCATGCAGGTTCTTCCAGATCTATATTGTGTTCACATGAAAACTACGAAAATTAGTTTTGTTCACACGTTGATAATTTATGATTAGTCTAAAATAATGAATTTTCATTCAACTATCGTACTAATCTTATTTAAAATCGTAAATTTTACTATTTGAAATTAATCATAAATTATAATTTATTCATATAGTAAACAAAATCGGACTAAAAAATCATCCGTTTCATCCCCTGCTCTTTGGTCTCCTATCCAGGATTCTAGGAGTTATAAAGCAAGGGGGGTTGAGATCTTCTATCCAACATGCCTGTCCCGTGATCCCATCTCCTGTCACATTACTATGTTACAACGTGTCCTTCATAAAGTTGCAATAGCAACCCCTTCATTTCTTCTCTTTGTTTTCTTTCATCTGTCACGAAAAGACAAATTTTAATATAACGGTGATATTATGTCATTTGTATCACATCAAAATAATATCTTAGCATCTACTTCTTAAGCATATATGGCAAGTTATTTTTATCTGAAAAATAGGGTTCATCCCTCCCATAGGAGGAGTTATCATGCCTTTCAAGAATTCCAACTAGGTTATGGCTCTGTTTGGTAGGGCTTATTTCAGCTTTTAATTTAATTTAAGCTATTTTGATGTGTTTGGTTCAGTTTAACAATACAGCTTATAACTTTTTGTAAGTCAAAAATCAACTTATTCTTTGAGTGGAGGAGGAGAAGCTTAATTTATAAGTCAAAAATTAACTTATGTTCATAGTTATAAGTTATTAAGTTATAAGCTATAATCACTTTCTCACAGCTCTACCAAACGGGGCCTATGTGCCCTTTCAATTCTATTGGTTATTTTATATAATATATAGGAGAAAAAAATAAGAAATAGTAGATATGTAACCAATAGAACTGGAAGGACATATCACATAGAAAATGGAACAAACCTATATGATGATTTTTCCTCCCATAGAAAGTAAGAGAGAGAAAACAAAGAGCGTTATTTAGTTGGTAGTGTTATTTGGTTATGGAGGAAAGAATGAACAATTTTTTTACGCGAAGAGATTTGGAAATTGAAAGGGAAAAGTGTGTGAAACTAGGTGAAATATAGGTATATTTTATTCATATTTCACCTACTTTTTTCTTTTTCTTTTTCAAATCGTCCAACCAAACACAACGTTAATATTTTTTTTAATAAGAGAGAAGAGGTGATCAACGGATTAAAAATTGAACTTTGAGAGAATTACAATTGTGTTTTTGCAAAAAAAAATTACAAATACATGAAAAAATTAAAAACCTTAATTAGTAATGTTTATAAATTTACTACATGTTTTTTAAATCTACACTAAATTGTATTTTTCCTTTGAATTTTTATAAAAGACGCACGGCAACAATAAAGGTCGGGACAAAAGATCCCAATCCGCATGGGTGTCACAAGCAAAGAAATTAATTTAATAGACACTTATTATTATTATTATTATTATTATTAGATTGGGTAGTGGGCACTTATTACAATATTTTTTTATAAAGAAATTGTAATATAAAATAATAATAACTTTGTAGTTAATATTAAGTATAAAAACTTTTTGAAAAAAATGCTATACGAAATAATAAATTTTATAGAAAAAAAATTAATAACAGATGCATCATGCAATAAAAAAATTAAATTTAAAACATGACCCATTTTATAAGATTTGTTAATTTGTGTAATATTCTTTAAACTTAAATATTCATTATACAAGTTTAGCACAAATCATCACAAATTAAAATTTTTAATTTTAGCATAAATCACCATAGACAGAGAGAATTGATAAAAGAACGTTATCTGTGAGCCTCATGACCCTTCTTGTTATCTACCCTTTCAGAAACTTTTCACAAGATGGGTTAGAATATAAAAATTATAAAATTATGAAAAATGCTTGGGAGTATTAATTTGATATCACCAATTTATTACTAATGATATGGAATGGATCATGTAAAGAGGTAGACTTACCCCACTCTATCTATTTTCTCTCCTTTTTACGTCATTA